GTGATGGCTGTTTGACCAGGTTATGAAAACTCTTTGTCCAAGAGCCACTTCTGATTTTGGTTCTAGCATTATTGAAAAACTCCTTCTTTAACATTTGAAAATGCAGATTTTCAGTGTTTAAATATGGAGTTGTTGAAATTTTAGGGCTTAAAGAGTGAATTATTTTGTTCTGTATGGTTTCTGTGAGAGCAAGGCTTAAAGGTTTGCTACTTGTTGCAAGCATGGGATGCTACACTTCATTAAAGCTAATGACCTTGCATCGTCCTGAATGCCATTGATCCTGCATTTCATTATTTTGATGCACCGGAGCTCAGCCAGGCTGTGTCAGAGCAGTTGCTATGTTCAGTGATAAAAGTTCCCTACTTCAAATGGAAGTCACTGGGTACCCAGCAGAATATTTAACTAAGATTAGCTGTAAGCTGACGATATTCCAAATGCATTCTGAAATTCTGAGTAAATTCTTTATCACGTGGCCTTTTTTAAAAGGAAATGAGAGCATGTGAAGTTCCTCTGCCCATGGGAAAGGTACCGAACGGCACGTACCTGAAGCCCCCAGCCGCTGCAGCAGCGCACTGCTCCTCTGGGTGGGGGACACAAAAGCTTCTTCACATCTGGAAACTGCCAGTTCTGCATGCAAATATTAGGATGTAGCTTCTTTTTTCTGCAGGTATGAACATTTGCTTGCTGAATGCCGGGTATTGGTCTGAGATAAGTCCAGTGCCCCGCATTCAGTGGCTCTCTAGCCTGTCGCTATTCAGGCTGATGCAGGAGTGAGATCTCGAGACGTTCCCTTCCCTTAACTCAGGAGGCTCTGCCTGTGCTAAAACGCACTGTGCTAATATAGCAGGTGGCAGGTAGCATTTTGGGTGAACGATGAACGAGGCCATTTAGAACCAATTACGCTAACGTGACTCTGCCCCAACAAATTTGCATCATTAAAACACCTTTGGAAAAATGTGTCACACATATAATTAAATACCTGTTTTGCTACCTCTTAAATTAATTAATGCAAAGTAAAAATGGCAGCACAAATTAATTTAGTTGGAAATGGCTTTTTTCTCAGTAGGCTGAAGGGAGGTTTTCTGGAGGCGTTGTACCAGATGCCCTCGGAAGTGTGCGGGTGAACTCCAGGAATGATTGACACAGTTTTTTGATATTGATGGCCATGACATCCTCATGGCAGTATGTATGCCACGTATCAACTCCTTTTTTCTTCCCTCGTGACAGCAAAGAGCGAGGCCAGCTAAAGGTGGTTTCTTTGCGAGGACAGGGTAGCTGCTTCTTAGCTCTACCCTGAGAGGTATTTGGTAGCAACCACAGTAAATCCAGGTTCAGGCAGGTGGGTGAAAAGAAATTCATGTAACAAAAGATCTTTCTATGTCTCCCCCTGGTTTTTCCTTCTGTACCTTGACCTCTCTTACTCAGTTGGTGCCTGTGTTTTTTCCCCTTGATATAACTTTCCTCTAACGGCTCATCCGCTTTAAATATTCATTACACTTAACTTTCTTTAAAGACTTCCTTGTAGATGCTCTTCTTTTGGTTTGACCTCTTTCCTAACCTTGTGTATTCTCCCCACCCCCCTCAGCCTTTTTGATCTTTTTCTCCCTGCCGCTTAATCTCTTGCTCTTTCCATTCCCATCTTGCTCGGGATAAAACTGGAGCACAGGCACTGTTCGCTGTGCAAGAGCAGGTGAGTTGTCAGCCCGACGCTGTAGAAGCAGGGAATCTGTTGTTGCTTCCTGCAGACCCATCTGAGCACCAGAAAAAATATTAAAAAATAAACTTTCAGTCTTCCAAAAATACTCGTTGTGGCCTTAGCAGTTCTCGCTTCAGCTTAAGTAAAAATAAATGCGTGTGTGAATGAAGAAGGGTGACGTGCACTGCGACATGGGGTCCAGCTAGTCCTGCCACCTCTCTGCAGTTTCAGGATTGGCCTTTTCTATCTGATGTTTCCTTCAAGAGGGAAAACCAACCTCATTTATCCAGCAGGAGGATTCTTTGGTGCTGAGAGTGAGTAAAGGGCTGGTGGGCAGGAGCCCGTGGGTCCTGTGCAGCAGAACAGGCTGGGATGGGCTGCCCTGGGCTGGAGTGCACCAGGACGGGAGGCGCTTTGGGACAGGCGTTGTGAGCTCATCAGAGACTGGTCCTGAGCGGTGACTCAGCCTGGTGGGTGGCTCAGGAGGGTGTGGGATCCTGCACGAGGGACGTAGGATTGGGGGAAGCTCATGGTTTGGAGCTCCCTGTGGCATTGCTGATGCTGGCGCTCCTCTGCGGCTTCGCAGGGTGGCTTTCAAATGAGATGAACGTGAATACGAAGCTGATTTTGTCTGTCTTTGGTAGCATGAATACTCCTGGCTTCCCATCCAACGCTGACCTTTAGCATCATCCAGCTTTTGGCAATTGGAGCCAGTGCCTTTAACAGTGCCTTTTGTGTTCGCTTACTGAAAAACGGGGTCTGTTTCGCAGGAAACTTGTTTACACCTGCCACAGTCGTCATCTTTGCTCTCCTTTGCCCCTTTCACTGGAGCTGCGGTAGTCGAAACTGCAGAATGTCCTTTCATTCCCCAGTGTCCTCGGCATGGGATGTGACTGCAATAGAGCAGCTGGGGCGAGGATGCAGGGTGTGAGACCCCCTTGGCAGCGGTAGCCAGATGTGGACAGCTCAAGGAGGAGATTCGGCTCTGGAAAGACTCAAGTACAAGGGGTTATTTCTACTTCTTCCTGAACTGTTCATTTTAGGGTTTATGCAACAGCCGTCGGAGTTCTCCCCTGGATGTACAGATGCAGTAAAGCAGCTGTAGGAGAGTCCCCTCTCTGTTACCCTTAGCAGGGGGTCGATGGCATTCGCTGCAGGGCTTGCCAGGCTCGTGCTTTCAGCCCTTCTGCAGAGATAAACGGTGCTCTCCTTGTCGAGCTGAGGGGTTGAGCGTTCTCAGACCCCTGAAACTGCGAGTGGCTTTTTGGGGGTGACCCATGCACTGGGTGAACCTGTGGGTTCATGCTGCAGCAGAGGAATGCAGGGAAGCTAGGGCGAGGGGAGGTGCTAGGACCAGAGGATTGCAAAGCTGCTGTTGCAGGCGTTGTGCTCAGCCTGCTCTCTGGTGGTAGCTGCTGTAGCAGAGATGACCTTTGATAAAATGCGAAGCGTTCGGTTTGCTTTGGATAGTTGTGGTTGCTCAGCCTCAAACAGCTACAGTTCACAGCAGAGCCGTCAATTCAGCTGCTCTTGCTTTTGTTCTCTTTACCCTTGTGCAGAATTCACAGGTTAAAAACCAAATCACAGAAGCTTCAGGATGAGAACTGCCAACAAAGCCTGCTTCCCAGCACTTCTCCCCAGTGCAGGTTCTCCAGTGTCTGGTAGGGGCTGAGCTTTATTGCTCTTTTCTTCCAGATTAGGGAGACTAGTAGGAGAGCAGATGGAAGAGGCACCTGCTGGCACGAAACATGGAAGAAATAAACATCTTTGGGATCTCCAGTCAAATTTGGCTGAAAACAGCCAGCAGGTTCCAAAACTCTTGCCAGGATTGAGATACTTAAAGACCACTTGATCGTGATCTCTTGCTGTCTCAGCTGGGCCAGAGTGTCCAGGGCAGGCAGGAGAGCTCGGGTGGAGGTGGAGCATCGCTGCTGTGCTCTGGTCTGCGCTGGGGACACAGGGATGCTCTTTATTTAGATCAAGTGATGGCAACATGCAAATGGTTTGTCTGGCTTTTTTGTGCAAAGCTGTTGTGGGGAAGGAAATTCTTGTAAGTCATTCAAAAGGAGGCAAGGCCAGTCATGCTTGGAGAGAGCCTGGGGAGAAGGTCATGCTCCTGCTTTCCGGTCCTGAAAATAGCTGAGGGACATTTGCTCTCACAGGAGTGGTGGGTTTTGATGATTTTAGCTGGAAAAAAAAGAAGAATAGAAGAAACAGTTTTGGGGAAGGTTGTTGGGACTCTGCCCTGGCTTTGCTGATATCCCACTAGTAAAAGGGGTTTTCCCATTCGTGTTTCCTAGGTAAACTGTCAGTGTATTGGATATGTCTCCCAGCAATATTTGGTTGCTGTGTTTCTCATCAGGGTTTTTTTTAACAATACCTGAGGGATGTGACAGTCATACATGTGGTTTCTTTGAGCTGGAGATACCTTCAGGACTGAAATGCCTGTAGGACATAGCGTGCAGGGGTGACCGTTTGCTTTTGAGGAAAGAGCTAGCTCGTGAGGCTTTTCTGTTGTACATGACCTAATCAGTGCCTTCAGAGCAAGCAGGCACCCTCTGTTTTAATCCAGCTTCCGTCCCTTTGACAGTGGAGGTGGGATGTTTTAGCATTTTCTATAGCTGTATCTGTATTTCTCGTGGCTAGTAAAGGACTCATTTTGCCAAGAATATGATGTATACTACGTCTTTGAATCCCAGTATTTATGATACTGATCTTTAAAGGCAATTTAAGCAGATTGGAGGTTCTTTTTTTCTATGTGAATTGCTGTGGTCTAGTCAAGATAATTTTTAGTAGCAGCAACCATGTGGAAGTATTGTCTTCCCACAATTAGAGGTTAAGAGTTGATAGCAAATGAGCCAGGGATTATAATTGTAAAACAGGGTAATTCTTTGTGCATGGTGAAAACTAAGGAATAAAAACTCATGGTGTAATGTACCCATCAGTATTAGATGCAAGTAAGAGATAATGTATCTTGCAGTGAAAGACATGTGGATTGTGTGTATTTCACTGAGCACAGGAGCAATTCCTCCTATTCCACAGAAGCTGAGGGTTTTGTTCAGTTGGTACTGATGCTCTTTTAGAAAGCTTTTGCCTCTCTGCTTCCTGAGGTCTGACATGGAAGAGAAAAGCTTCAATAGGCACCAGCTGCTCAATGGGCTCTGGCTCTTCAGAGCATCGCTTGCTTTTCTCCATCCCAAATTAAAACGTGTGTTAAACTTAGTTTTTGTTTGAAGCGGCCGGCGCTGTGGTATGTAATGTAAAAGGAATGTGCTCCTCACCTTTTCTCTCTCTTTTGTCGTAGGGTCAGCATTCTTCAGGGGAGGACATGGAAATCTCTGACGACGAGACCAACCCTGCACCCATAACCAGTGCAGAATGTGCCAAAACCATTGTGGTGAACTCCTCCGTCAGCAACACGGCTGTGATGGCCCCGTCGATTCCTCCACTGCCACCGCCGGGATTCCCTCCTCTTCCTCCTCCGCCACCTCCACAGCCAGGCTTCCCGATGCCTCCACCGCTACCTCCGCCACCTCCACCCACTCACCCTGCTGTCACTGTCCCCCCACCTCCGCTCCCTGCCCCCCCTGGGGTCCCTCCGCCTCATATCTTGCCTCCGCTTCCTCCGTTCCATCCTGGCATGTTCCCTGTCATGCAAGTGGATATGATAAGTGTCTTGGGCAACCAGTGGGGTGGCATGCCAATGTCCTTCCAGATGCAAACTCAGATGCTGAGCCGCATGATGCAGGCACAAAACACATACCAGTATCCGCCTTTCATGACGGGCCGGATGCAGTTTGTGAATCTTCCACCCTACCGCCCTTTCTCAATGGGAGCAGCTCTTGGTCGTGGACAGCAGTGGCCACCGCTGCCCAAGTTTGACCCCTCAGTTCCACCACCGGGTTATGAGCCGAAGAAGGAAGATCCCCACAAAGCCACTGTGGATGGAGTCCTCCTGGTCATAGTGAAGGAACTAAAGGCTATCATGAAAAGGGACCTGAACCGGAAGATGGTTGAAGTGGTGGCGTTTCGGGCGTTTGATGATTGGTGGGACAAGAAGGAACGTCTGGCAAAGGTAGGCTTTCACGTGCTCTGTGCTGGATCCTGGGGAGAGCTGTTCATAGTGCTTGTGCCCAGGGCATGGGGAGGCAGGGATCTAGAACTGACTTTAAAACACAACCCTAACATTTTCTAGTAACTAAAACAGAAGCAAAAAACAAATCCATGGAATAGCTTTGCTGCGAGAAACCACATTGCTTGAGGCTGCTGAAATTAAATGGGAGGCATGCATGTCCCTGTCACTTATCTGCCTCCATACCTCCCCATAGGGCTGAGGCAGGCAGTAGGAGTGTGTGATGGGAGCAGCAGACCTCAGCCTGCAAATGTCTGGAAGATGCTCCATCACTGCAAGCAGCTGCCTCAGGACAGGCTAGCACCTGAGTGTTAAACCTGGCTTATTTCCATGGTGTCACTCTAAACACACAGGAGTTCCATAGTGCTTTGCCATCAGAACAAACACAGGCTGGGAATTAGTCCTTCCCAGTCACTGATGGAGGTACCCTGTGCAGAGTTATGAACTGCTGCTCTGTCTCTGTCCCACTGAATTAAATTGTGGCCTGAGGAGGAAGTGTTCAGTTCTCAGTACCATCCCTCTCTGGGGTGGACCCCTTCCTCATCCCCTCCAGCTCTGGGGTCACCACCTCAAAGCAGCCCTTTCTGCACAGCTCATGGCTTGCGACTGTCTCGAGACCCCGTTCATCTTCGGTGGCGCCTTGACCTGGCTGGACCAGGCTCGGCTTGCCTCGGGAGGCCGCACCAGCCACGCTGGAGCATGATCCAGGAGGGATCTGCAAATGAGCTGTTCTGTCATCCGTGTTTCAGAGACCTGAAATGTCCTTACAGAGGCATCTGTGAGAAAGGGCATTACTGCCACCCCCAGGGCAGGGTCACGGACTGTGTGACTTCCCCAGTGTCACCATAGCCCCGTGGTGTGTTTTGCAGACTTTCCCTAAGAGGGAGGCTCGCACGCCTCCGTTAAAGCTGAAGTCCACCGAGCAGTAGACATAGGACAAGCCTTGCTGCTCTTATAGGCTGAGCATATACACACGGGGCAGTCCTCTCCACTGTGCTTCTTTTGGGAGGGCCTTCAAGAACACCCCAAAATGCCTTACACCCCAAAAGCCCAGGGTTATTCACTCCCTCTCTCTCCCCCTCAGTGCAGGAGTTCCAGGGCCTGAAATTTGAAAAGTTTAGCTGATTTGGGGTGTGTTTGGTTGGTCTGTGGCACTGCTGGCTGCCTCCAGGAAGGGGTTTGCAGGAGGAAATGACCTTGAGATCCCGAGACAAATGTGCAAGGGCTTCTCATGTCCAAGAGGAAGCTGAACTTCAGCTCCAAAAAACTAAAGTCAGATGCAACAGGAGTGTTTGAAACCACCAAGCCGCTATTTTGTGTTCCCCACTTCACGTGATGAGATCTGTGGGTATTTCCACTTCTCTGTGGTCCTCCCGCCTCTCCAGTGCATGTACACAGCAGCAATTAACTCAAAAGCTGAACATTGGCCAAATACACAAAGAGTTCAGTGATTAGTTAAGGGAACAGCTTTGTATGAATTGTCTGATCCTTTCTCAGCCAATTTAAAGTGTACCTCAGCCAACGAACAGCTCTGTGATCTAATATGTGGTAAATTTGTCCCTAACAAAAAAATAACACTACAGAAAGGTTCGTGCCTGCCTCAAAATTAGTATTACAGTAAATTAACCTAATAAACCAACAAACCAAACACAATGCCGCAACCTGCAGATGCATCTTCTGTTTCAGATGCCAGCTATCAGAGCAGTATCCTCACCGCCTGCCTTTGTAAGCCAGTTGCACGCTAACTGCAGTGCCTGGGAGAACTCTTTGGCTTTCCGGAGAGGTTGGTGATGCTGCTGCTTAGCAGCTGGTTTATGACGGTGTAATTTGCTCTGGCTCAGCACTGGCTGCTGTGCCCTGTGGCGAAAAACCCCGTCCCATTCTTCCTGACTAATCACAGAATGGTTTGGGTTGGAAGGGCCCGTAAAGCCCATCCAGTTGTAACCCCCCTGCCATGGGCAGGGACACCTTCCACTAGACCAGGTTGCTCCAAGCCTCATCCAGCCTGGCCTTGGATGCTTCCAGGGATGGACCATCCACAGCTTCTCTGGGCAACCTGTCCCAGTGCCTCCCCACCCTCTGCGGGAAGAACTTCTTCCTGATGTCCAATCTAACCCTCACCACTTTCAATTTAAACCCGTTACCCCTTGTCCTGTCACTACAGGCCCTTGTAAAAAGTCCTCCCCAGCTTCCTTGTAGCCCCTTCAGGTACTGGAAGGTGCTATAAGGTCTCCCCGGAGCCTTCTCTTCTCCAGGCTGAACAAGCCCAACTCTCTCAGCCTTTCCTCACAGCAGAGGTGCTCCAGCCCTCTGAGCATCTTCGTGGCCTCCTCTGTGTGCTCGGAGCTTCTGCCTCCTACGAGCGAGTGTGTGCTGACAGTATTGGAGGGAGGCCCCTGAGTTTGCAGGGCAGTGGGGGAAACAGCTCCAGCAAATAGTTGCAAAAGCAGCAGCTGAAGTACCCAAGAAATTGTTTTAAACCAGAAATCTGCAGTGAAGACGCAGAAGCAAGTTGAGGGAGGTCTTCAGCAGCTGTCAGGCTCTTTTCTATCCCAAACTATGGTTGGATTTAGTGTGTTCCACCTTCACCTGGAATTTGCAACTCATTTTGGGATGGGAAACTGACTGAACCGCAGCAGCTTGCCACGGGTTGTGCTGGATGTGGGCAGCCCGATTGAAAATAAGAAATTGTTGCATGGAATAATGCTTGTGCTTTTGTCCAGGCACAGAAATGCCAGAACCATTGCTGAGTCAGGGCATCGCCTGGAGAAGCCTCTGCCAGGCCATGCATTATCGTCACATGCAGAAACAGAGATTGCAGAGCCTCCTTTCTGCTAGGGCTGGGCACCCCCTGACACTGGTGCTGGACAGGATTCCTGTTCAGTCCTAAGCTGACTGCTTTTGCCAAAGGACAACAAAATCTGAGTGTTCAGCTTAAACTGTACCTTCCTTTTGCTGGTGTCTTTATGCAGGCCTGCGGATGAGCCATCTGGGCTCTGTGGTGGCCACTGGAGGTCAGTTCCCCACGTACTTTGCCATCACGCTGATTTTTCTAGAATGGAGCAAGATGTGCAGGCGCTGTTCTGAGCTGAAATGACCCTCCAAAACAGGCCCTGCATCCCCATTTCCTCCCTCCTAATGGTTTTAATTGGAACTTCTCATGCTTTTCCTTCCTGATGGACAGTAGTGAAAGCAATTATATTATTTGCAGAGGTTTTGAAGTATAAATAAGGCAACATATGTGCTTGTTTACATCTTTTTTTCTTTAGAAACAAACGAGGCTGGTTTGTAGGGAGAGAGAATATCTTTTAGTATCTCCTGTCCTTGGACCATCAGCTGCAGCAGCCCTCCTGTTATTTTACAGGGGAGGCCAAGGTGCATCATGGAAAGACATGAGCTCCACCATATGCAGGGATGTCCCTCTTTGTTCTGAGGCTTCGTGGGTCTGCTCTCTCCCTGACCATCCCCAAACATAAGAGCAGGATGCCTTGTGGGTTTCTTCTTCCTCCTGACTGACAGTGTTCAAGTTTAGTGGGACAGCAAATATTATCTACACAAAGCTGCTGGCTGGCAGCCCCTGAACCTTCAACGACGCACAAGAAAGCAGCATGCTCGTCACCTCCCGTGCCTCGCTTTCTCTCTTTTCTCTGTTTTTAGCCACTATTCCATCAAAGGAATTGGCTTGGGCAGCTGATTGACTGCCAAGAAGTATTGTGCTGTAGTTAAAAGGTGGGAAAGCTCAAGGGTAAAGCTGGTGTCGTAGGTCAGGCAGGATGGAAAAATATATGGGGTGAAAGCTGCTAAAGAGCATGTTGCTAGGGAAGGCAGCATGGACCTTGTCTGCCTGAGCTAGAGCAAGGCTTTTCCCTGTTCCCAAATCTAGTGATGGGTTTAGGTTTGAAAGCCTGAGTAGGGTGCATTAAGTGGAGTGCCAGGAATAACCAGCCATCCCTGGCCACAGACTGCCACTGCCTGGATTCTCTGCTTGATATTCCCATTAGTCTTGTCCCTTATTAGCAGGAGAGCTGAGCTTACGCTTCCTCTTCGGTGATTACAGCCAGCTTTGGCAAATTAGCTCCGTTAATGTCTGTAAGAGACACCGACTTTCAGACGGCGTTATGCCACTGGCTGGTGGAGTGAACAGTACCTCCGGTGCCCTTCGCTCAAGACGAGCGTGGCCTGCCACAGTGCGTGATGCTCCTCTCGGCTCGTCCGCCTCTCCGCAGCTGCAGAGGTTTGAATGCCTGCTGTTCCTTTACACTGGTGCAAAAGGGTTTGTTGTGGCTGAGCAGAGATGAGGCTGAGTGTCTAGTTACCAAGTTTTCTAGACCCTTAGGTGTTTTGCCTAAATATTTTGATTTTTCTTGTTTCCCAGGACTGGAGCCTTCTGACAGTTTTTGTGAACTTGGGCTGTGGTTGCTAAGCAAACACAGGGATGGGTGTGATTTTTTGGCTTGCTGTGTTGTGCCTTGCACTAAAAAGGTCTTCCCAGCTAGAAGGTCTGAAGTTGCTTTCCGTTGTGTGGGTTAGCAGATGAGCGTAGGTAACACAGTGTTAGGCTAACCTGCCTGAGGCATGCTTGAGTTAGTTGTGAGAGCTGTTTGAGTAGCTCTGTTTCTCACATAGCTGTGGCCAGACCAGATGGACTCCTGCAGCATTTGGGAGTTAGGGGTGGTGGTGTATCCTGGCTCCTTCGCTTCCCTTCAGATTCAGGACCTTTGGACAGTAGCTGCTCCTTGGCACTTGGTAGTGGAGGGATGTGTTCCCTTGGGCTGTTGAATTCTGGGTTCATGTTTGCACCTGTTCTTCCCCTTTCACTTCTCATTTTTATGGCCTTTGCTTCTAGCACCTGCGTTAGATTCTGGCTGTTTGGAAGGTGGTCACGGTGGTCCCCACACCAGGCAGAGAGACCTGAAATGAGCCTTGGGGGCTAATGGGTCTGTCGTTTCCCTTGTCCTTTCTTGTGAAGTACTTTGGCCTGTGTTTTCTCTTAATCAGTTTTAGTGACTTATGCAGAGAAAATAAGTTCTTAAAATGCAAAGGGGAGAAGGCCTCTCAGACATGTAGAGGTCTCGTTATCACGAAGAGCTCTTGCATCTTCTTCCTTTCAAGTGTGTGTAGCCCTGTGGTGCATTTTGAGATGCCTTTGCCTTCAGAGGAACTGATGCTGGGGCAAGGCAGCGATATTTCACAAACCTCAACTGTCTAAATGGTTTCCAAAGTGTGTGTGCTTCCCAGGAAATGTTCCCTCTCAAGTGTGCTTTCTCTGTTGCAGGCGTCTCTCACTCCAGTGAAGTCTGGAGGAGAGCTGGAGGAAAAACCAAAGCCGAAGGATAGAATCGCCTCTTGTCTTCTGGAGAATTGGAACAAAGGGGAAGGCCTGGGATACGAGGGAATCGGCTTGGGCATTGGGTTACGAGGGGCCATCCGGTTGCCATCCTTTAAGGTAAAACCAAAGATCTGTTACGCTAACGTTCCCTGAAGGGAGGACAGATCTCTAGGTTTGTGCCCCAAAGCCCGTGGGCTGTTAGCCCCACTCTGTGTTCACTTTTGGGGTTGCTTCTGACCGCATCGCTTGTAACTCATCAGCACACTGTAGGAGCAAGGATCCTCTTTCCCAGCCTTAGCTTTTCACCTGGCACTTGTGTGAACTGTCTGTAAAGGATCTCCCTGCTCTTCAAGATAAATGGGACGTTTGCCTGTGTTTAGCACACAGCCTTTCTTTGCTTAGACTGTCTTGCAGTTTGACAGCTAAAAGTGTTCTCTGCCTCATGTGAGTTTACAGAATCAGGCTTTCAAACGTAGGGTCACCTATTTTAAAGAGCATTTGCATTAAAAGATGGGAAGTGTCTTTTAAAAGAAGGGGTGGGAAGGTAGAGAGCTTCCCTGAAATCAATTTTGAATGCACAGAAGGTGCATGTAAAGGTTTGGGATGAGAGATTCTGCAGTCTCCATTTAGAATAAAAGTTGCTCTGGGGTTACTTGAGATGTCACAGGCTCAGGCTCTCCTTCTCTTATGCTACAACCCAGACACATGGATTTGTCAAAGAGTTTTCTCTGTCTTCTTCAAAGTACCTGGTGATGCCATGCACCATGCTGGTACCCAGAGTGTTTTGATGCAAATTGAAAGGGTAGTGTTTCATTCATAGTGAAATTCTGTTTGCAAGCAAATAAAGGCATCAAGAGCTGGGGAAGTGGCCCTTGGTTTCTGGGTGTAAGTCATCACAGCAGAGTAAAGCAGTAGCAATTTGCTTAAGAAGTTGATTTCTGCTGTTTCTAAACTTTTAGAAATGCTAATTGTGTCTTTTGTTCAGGTGAAAAGAAAGGAGCCACCTGAAGCTGCCTCAGCGGGAGATCAGAAGAGAATCCGGCCTTCTACATCTGTCGATGATGAAGATGAAGGTTTGCAAAGCACATTTGTTTGAAACACAAGAGCCGAGGCAAACCACATGCAAGCTATATTCTTTTGAACTTCCCAGCAGTGTGCTCACTTACAGTTAGACACAGTCAAGGATCTGAGCCAAAACCCTGCTTCTCTCAAAACTCTGATCAGCTGGGAGATGTCTCCTCTGGATTCAGTTATCTTAAATTCACTGGCGGGAAATTTAAGACCCACATTTTATGACTAACTCATAACCTATTTTAGTTCTGCTGATGCAGAGTTGGTCACCCAGTAGAGGGAGCTCGGATGAGTTCATGGACTGTTCCAGGGCCATGCTTGCAGCTCACTGGGTACCCTGTGGGAGAAAGTGTGTAGGAGACAGTTTGCCTTGCATTTGATTTGAAAAACGAAACAAACTTAATTGCCAGAAAAATCCATTTGAAAATATTTTAACATTTTTTCCCCAGCAGCAGGGAAGAGTAGAGATAAGACAGAGCTTTGAATACCCTGTGGTTTTGCATAAAATGTGGTTTCAAGTTAGTTGTGCTATGAAGTTGATTAAGACTAACAACTGGTTGTGAAGCCAAGGTACAGAAGCAGGGTTTTGTAAAGCACTTAAACAGAAAGGCATTAAATTCAGCTCACCTCTTCTGACCTCAGTCGTACCACTAGCTGCTCTGCCTGTAGCTTGCCAGCTTTGGCCACCTGCATTCTGCCGTTTCAACACCCTGCGCCCAGTCTCGCCCTCACTTGCGCTGTGACGTTCCTAAGCCCCTGTGAGCCTGGGGACTCGCACACCACATGGGCACGTTGCTCCTAACTTTGATCTTCCCCAAGAAAAAGTTTCCGTTATGCAGCCAACTCTCTCCCTCCCTTGCAAGGTTATTTGGTGGCAATTTCCTTCTTGTTTTCGCTCACCAGAGTCGGAGAGGGACAGGGATGCTTCCGATACAACATCTGACCTGTCCAAGAAGGATGCAGAAGCAGTGGGGCTGAGGCGGCGACCAGCAAGGCCGCTGGAGCTTGACAGTGAGGGTGAAGAGGGAGATGAGACATCAGGGAAAGAGGAAGAGTCCTCCTCGGAGAAGGAAGAGGAACAGGAAGAAGAGGGAGGCTTGGTGAAAGCAGCACCTGGCAAGGTGCGTTGGTTTGTGATTGCAGTTTTTGAATGCTGCTGGTCATGAAAAGGGGGCCTAGTAGTTCCAGATGCCAAAGTTACCTCCTCTAGAAGGTGAGCACTCCCCCCAGGGTCTGCCTGCAGAGAACCTCTGTAAGGTTATTCCTTCTTCAGGATCTCTGATCAGCGTCCCTGAGAGTTGCTGCTGGTTACTACAGTGACAGCCAGGTCTCAGACGCTGTTAATTTTTGGCAATGCTTTCTTGTAAAGGAGGAAGAGGAAGATGAGGAGGACGAGGAAGATGATGATGATGATGAAGAGGATGATGAGGATGAAGAGGAGGAGGAGGAGACAGGCATAGACACAAGCGACAAGGAGGAGGAGCAGGACTCCGAGGAGGGTAAGTGCTTCCGGTGGAAGCAGCAAGCATAGCCTTCGGATCAGGTGTGGTCTCCTGTGACCTGATAATTTTTATTTGTGCACTTTCTGTCCCTGAAGGGTGGTTTCATACAAGATAATGCACACAGGCATTTTAATTTTTAGTTTTAAGTTTTAATTGTTACCTGTGAAGCTTCCATGATCCCTCAGTCTGTGGGTCACTTTGCAATAGCTCTCCAGCCCCTGAGTGATCTCAGCCCAACCTGGCATAGGGGCAGAGGTTTTAAGGTCAGCTCAGTTTTTGCTTATTTTAGGACAGGGGTGTGGCTGGGAGGAGAAAGGTCCAGATTTCAAACAGGAGTAGTTTAGCCCTAATGACTTTATGTCGGATCAATCAGTCCCTGCTCTGGAAGGTGGCTGTTCCTGTGTTTTAAAGCTGTGTCTGAAGGTGGCAGAAAATCCGAGTACAACCCCAGCAAAGATGCAATCTACCAAGAGCCCCATGTGGGCAAGGTGCCAGGCAGCGCTAACTCTGCTGCTCGTGCAGCTGCCTGTTGTATGGTGGTGGTTGTCAGCATCCAAATACGTGGTGTATAAATAAACTGGGAGGTGACTCCTTCAAACACACACGCTGATGCTGTTACAGTGTGGAAGTGCTGTTTGGTCCTGTAGTAGACCCTGATTGTTTAACGAAGTCACAAAGCGGAACTAATGGTAATTTGTTCTTCTTGTAGATGTAGCAAGTCCTTCGTCTTCCAAGGCTGAAGTTGAATCATCCGATGAAAGTGAGGACTCCTCTGAATTCGAATCCAGTTCAGACTCAGATGATGATGATGAGGATGATGAAGATGAGGAGGACGAGGAGGAAGAAGAGGAGGAAGAGGTGGCTGAAGATCAAGACAGAGAAGCCATGGTTGCTGAGACAGAGCACGAACCTCCTGGTCATGAGCTTCCTGATGATGAGAGGGAGACTATTTTGGAGCTGTATCCTGTGGATGACTACATGGATGCAACAGGCTTGGGACTTGTAGAGCCAGCTTTGGCAGTGAAAGATGAAGGCATGGAAGAAATCAAAGCAGGAGAGGATGAATGTGGTGAGGTTCCAGAGGCATCTATTGCTGCTGAAACACTGAAGCACTTGGTTATGGAAAGAGACCAGGAGACAAAACTTGCACTGTCTCCCATCTGTAGGCCAGGTATGCTCTTCCATGGGGTTTGGCATTTTTACCACATTGCCGAGTACAGCATTCTCACAGCATCCCATATGTACAGTTTGGTATTTCCCTTCTTCTGTTCCTCCAGTCTTGGCTCTAAGCTAGGGGTATCCGTATGGGGCAAAAGGGTCTGTGCTGCACTTCCATTCCTAGTAAGGATCTCTACACAAGCATCTGCTACTAAAAATACTGTGGTTATTGCATCCAGAATCTTGTCCTGGGGCAGTTTAGTTAGCATCCTACAGGAACTGAACAGTTGTCATCGTCTGAGGGTGACTGATTGGATGGTGTGGTGGCAGAAGCTCAAGATAGAAAAGCCATGGCGGCTAAAACAGATCAGGAATCTGTGCTTAGTGAGTCACTGCTGGCTGCTTTTGGTTTTAATTCCGAAGCAGTATGTGCCCGAGAGGCTATATGGGGCAGTTGAGTGGAGTCTCAGAATTGTATCTGGTTTCTAATATTATTATTTGTGGTGGTGTTTTGGTTTGGGTTTTTTTTGTTTTGGTTTTTTTTTTGTTTTTTAACTTAGTCCTTAAAAATGAGTGATCCTCTCTGGATTTCTAGAAGGAAATTCTCTCATTCAACACAGAGTTGTATTTAACCCAAGGAAATTAGAAACCTTTTACTAGATCAGGAGTGAGATGCATAAAGCGTGATGAATTCTGCAGCTAGAAGGGAATTAAAAATTGGAGCCAACAGGGAGAGCACATCCAGTGTAGCCTGCAGCATGAGCCGTGGGCAGGGCTGGTGTCTGAGGACTGGGCAGTATTTTGCCACTTGGAGAGCTGGAAATCTGGTCCCTGCACAGGCTATTGCTCCTGGGCCACCATAAATCTGAGAGCCACAAAGAGGCAAAATGTTAAACTGGGCAGGGCAGAGAAGAACCTGTTTTTTACAGAGCCTTTCTAAAACAGGTCAGTGTGTGGAGAGAACGTAAATTTGGGGAGACCTGCATTAGGGCACCTTGACATGTGGAATGAGCTGTGGAAACAAGCTC